ATAGAGGAGCTCTGCCAGGCCCCCCTGCACCCCCCTGCACCCCTCTGCACCCATGTGGCACCTACCTTGGGGTTGAGGGGCTGTGGCTTGCCCGCTTGGGTCTGGTGGTCTGAGGCCATGGTGGGCTGTCCCGAGCAAGAATGACCTGGAGGACACAGGGGGCGGGGGGAACGGCAGTGAGGACCCTCCTGGGCCCTCGGCTTCCTCACCTGGGGGACCTCGGGCCCCAGCACTGCAGGCCTTGCCTTTATCTGCCTGGTCTCAGGCTGCCCTAGAGCTGAGGCTTAGAGCACTGAAGCCTTTGCCCAGGTCACCTTGGCAGAAAGTAGTGGCATCTGGGATCGAACCCAGGCCTCCCAGTCTCCATCAGGGATGAGCACGCGAGGAAAAGGCCAGGCGAGCGAGAGAGGCATTCTTACCAGCGACACCGGCACCGAGAGCGCCTGTGAGGCCCGGCCGGCGGGAGGTGGCCTTTATACCTCCCCCCGGGGTGCCGGTGCCAAGACTGCGGCCCCCGGGAAAGCAGGGCGAGAATGGGGGATTAAGCCCGCACCAAAGGCCAGGTCAGCAAATGCCCACAGACATTGTGTCTGCACAATAATGTCATTAGCTTTCAGATCTGCCAGGCCAGGGCGGTCAGGCGGCCGGGCAAGGAGATGCGCGCTCTGCATGCATCAGCTGTCTGGCTGCCAGGGCCGGGGGCATGCTGGGTTCACTGGTGTGGGCCATGGGGCCCTGGGGGAAGGCAGACAGAGGCAAAACTCAGTGGCCCTGGATAAAAAATCAAGTTCAAGAGGGTGGTTTGGCAGAATCCAGCTTCATCCATCCAACACCCACTCACCAGACATCTGCGTGGTGCTGTGCTCTGTTCTAGAAGGTGGTGGCAGCCTGGACCTCCCTGGAGGGCTCAGGGGAAGAGAAGTCCTCTGGGTCCGGAGAAACCAGCCTGGGAGCCAGGTTGGGAAGACAGTTCCAGCAGGGGCAGGGCCTGGTGGCGCAGGGCGAGGAGAGCGGGCTTCATGCTGAGGCCCCTGGCTGTCCCAGCACCTGCTGCGCTTAGGGGAGGTGCTCCCAGGCCCCCAGGCCCCTGAGGTTCGGAGAAACCCTGCTGTCCGCCCTGCTGCCCGCCCCGCCATGGCCTCTCCACGGCCTTTATGCTCCTTCCATGCAGCCCCTCTGTGCCTTGACGACCCAAGGTCCGGCAGGAGAGGGGACAGCGCTGGGGCTTGGAGACAGGAGTTCGAGTGAAGAGACCAGCTCTCCCCATCTTTTACGCTCCCGGCACATGCGCACACACATGCACGCGCACGCACACGTGCACACTCACGTGCGTGCACACACCTGCGCCCGTGCACACGCGCACGCGCACGCACCACCCACACCCCAGCCCGCTAGCCAAGCTGTTCCCTCTCCAGCACGTCCCACCCCCTGGCATCACGTTACTCTTTACTTTGCTGGATTTCCAAGGACAAGTGTCCGTCGCTGACCAAACGCCTGAACAAGACGTGCTCTGTGCACACACTGAGATGCCGCTCAGCCCCAGCATGGGAGGGAATTCGGGCCACGCTGCGACATGGATGCACCTGGCACACGTTATGCTGAGGGTAACAAGTCAGATACCAGGACAAGCGCCATGTCACCGCACTCGCGCGAGAGTCCTCGGGCAGTTAAAGTCACAGAGGCAGAAAGTGGAAGGTGGGTGCCAGGGGCTGCAAGGAGGGAGGGATGGGGGGCTGGTGTTTATCGGGGCCGAGTTTCAGTTTTGCAAAATGAAAAACCCTCTGGAGACGGAGGGTCATGATTGTACAACCACGTGAATGTGCTGAACGCCACCCAAGTGTACACTAACAGCCACTGAAATGGTCGATTGTAGGTTATATTTTACCACAGCGAAGGTCAAGTCAACGCCCAGCCCTGAAACGCACTGTCTCACTGTCCTGGGGGCTGGGAGCTGGAATCGAGGCCTGGGCAGGGCTGCTCTGTCTCCCACAGCTCCAGCCAGAATCCTCACCTGGCTCCTGCAGCTTCTGGAATTCTCCTGCAGTCCTTGGTGGGTAGAGGCATCACTGTCACACGGGCGTCTTCTCTCTGTGTCTTCCGTCGTCTTTCCTCTGTGTGTGTCTGCCGCCGTGTCCAGGTTTCCCGTCCTATAGAGATGCCTGTCCTACTGGATCCAGGCCCGCCCGCAGGCCCTCCCTATAACTCAGTTACCTCTGCCCACACCCTGTGTTCAATACGTTCTGAGTATTGGGGCTTAGGACTTCAACCTGCCTTTTTTTTTTTAAATATACGTTTTATTGATTTTTTACAGAGAGGAAGAGAGAGGGATAGAGAGCTAGAAACATCGATGAGAGAGAAACATCGATCAGCTGCCTCCTGCACACCTTCTACTGGGAATGTGCCCGCAACCAAGGTACATGCCCTTGACCGGAATCGAACCTGGGACCCTTCAGTCTGCAGGCCAATGCTCTATCCACTGAGCCAAACTGGTTAGGGCTTCAACGTGCCTTTTGGGGACACAATTCAACCCATAACAAATGTCAGATAATATTTGCTGAATATTTGATGGATTCAAGACCTGGCTGCATTTCAATCAGTAAGAATTGCTAACATGTAGGTAGTAAGAGATCTTATCATGAGGCAGGCACTGTCTCTGCACTGAGCTCTTCCCATCCTCCCAACAAGTCCAAGAGGTAAGTGTTGCATTTATCCATCATTCCATTTTAGAGGAAGTTGAGGCTCAGAGAGATCAAGCAACTTGCCCAAGGTTGCACAGTCAGGGAGGAGCAGAGTTGGGCTTTGTGGATTGAGCCCCTACCAAGCTCATTGAAGGAACCTCTGTCTGCTGTCTCATTAAACTCCATCCTCACAACCATCTTTAAAGGAAATACTAGTATCTCCTATTACAGGTGAGAAGCTGAGTCTCAGAGAGGTTAACCTGTCCAAGGTCACACAGCAAAAAAGTGGTAGAGGCAGGATTCAAACTCAGAACTCAGGGTTCTTGAGACTCCAGAGCCTTCACCCTACGCTGCTTCTCTCCTCTTACCTCAGTTTTCCCACTGCAAATGGAAGTTTCCTTCTCTTTCAAACTTGTAAGAATTCAAATATTGTAGCGTTTATAATTATACCCTTTGTAAAATGAGCCCATCGTGAGAAGCCCTCAGTAGAGTTTCTAACCCATAGAAAGCGCTCCGTGACTGTACCTCTTCCTTTATTCATTATTGTTGCACCTACATGGACTGCAATCGTTTCAAAGCTTTTTATGTTTATTCCTTCTTCATTCCTTCACTCCAAGGTGTGAGGCCAGAGGTTGGTGGAAACCTGGGCATTCTCTGCACTCATTCATCCATTCATTCATTCATTTCCACATCCTGAGCACCTACTGCGTGTCAGCTGTGGACTCAGTGGGGAGGGACTTACTGGTGCTGCAAACACAACATCGACATGGGCGCCAGGACTTTCCAGGACGGGGAGGAAGGCTTGGGAAAGTCCCACCCAAGGGCAGGGAGCTGGGGTGTTTGCACACCAATCTCTATCGTCACCGGAGCCCGGAACTGCAGCCGCCCATCCTTCTTCATTCCCTCACTCCAAGGTGTGAGGCCAGAGGTTGGTGGAAACCTGGGCATTCTCTGCACTCATTCATTCATTCATTTATTCATTTCCACATCCTGAGCACCTACTGTGTGTCAGCTGTGGACTCAGTGGGGAGGGACTTACTGGTGCTGCAAACACAACATTGACATGGGCGCCAGGACGGGGAGGAAGGCTTGGGAAAGTCCCCACCCGAGGGCAGGGAGCTGGGGTGTTTACACACCAATCCCTATCGTCACCGGATGACAGCTGCTCCTCGTCGGCATTAACTCCCCGGAACTGCAGCCGCCCCGGGAATGAAGGCATGCAGATGTTGGCAGCTGGAAGTGGCCCTCACACACCAACGCTGTCAGTTCTGAGGGATATGGGGAAGCACCTACAGGATCTATGGACAAACAGATAAGACGTCCAGGGTAAGGCTGGGGGGAGGGGAGGCGGGCAGCCGGTAGCAGGAAGTAGGAAGAAGCCCCCAAGGGAACCAGGAGGGGGATGCATCCGCGGAGGCTTGCCAGCTGCGACACCTAGAACGCCCGCAGGCCTGCCACCCAGCTCCCCGGGGTCCGGGCTCCAGTCCTGTCTCCAGGAGCCCCGCTCAGGCCGGTCCTGCTGTCGGATTCCCCGAGCCGGGCCACAGAGCCTCGTTCCACACGGCCATGAACAGGCCTCTCTCTGAGGGGGAGGAGGGGTAGTCCAGGCAGGAGCGAGGGCTGAGGGGCGGGGGTGGCTGCCATCCACACTGGGTGCCCCTCCCCAAGCCTGAGGCCCGCCCCCCCAGCTCTCCCCTCCACACCACAGTAAAAATAATTCAAGGCGATTTCT